CCCCCCACCCTCCCTTCCCGCAAACGCTTCTAAGCAGCCCCATCCACAGTGGTGGGAACGACCACGAGGAAAGGGACTGAGAAATTCAGCTCCCCGCCCTTACCATTCTTGGGGGGGGGCGGGGGGGGCGGACGGCCATGAGAAGAAAAAGAAGCTCTGAGAAGCCGGAGCTGCTGAGTGGCTGCTTTCATCTTAGGAGAAGGAAAGGGAAGAATACAAGGATGGCTTCCAAGCGGGCCGCCTTCTCCGGCCTGTTTCCTGTCCCCTCATCCTTGCCACGAAACAGCCCCCTTTCCCCAGAGGTTGGTTTGGGCTTCGGTTGGAGTAGAAACCCTCTGCGCTTAATGGCCTTTGCCTGGGCACACGGTCGGTCGGCCGTGCCACCTCCTTGAAGGGCTGTGAGAAAAATGTGTGCACGGGGAGGTAGGTGGCTCTGAGCATCAAGCCACTCTCTTTCGTCCCGGAAGCTCCCCCTCAACCAGGACGGCTCTCCCGACTGGGCAGAGGACTCCCGCCACCCTCCCTTCCCCAGCCGAAGGCTTTCTTCTCCAGGGTGCCAGCCAGGTGGGCAGGGAGGGGGTGCTTGCCCTGTGGCGCTCACTCTGGGCAAAGGCCCCTCCTGCAGGGCGGATCCGGGCCGCTTTTGCCGGGCAGCCTTCCCGAGACCCTCGGCCCAGGGAGAGCCTTGCACTTTCCCAAGGCCCGCAGCGAGGAGGCAACCCGAGGGTGCTTCTGCCCTGCAGAACGGCAAAGACCCCTTCCAGGGAAGCCCCCCCCCTACAGTTACACTTCAGATCTTTATTCAGGGGTGCGTGCGTGGCTGCCGGCCTGCCTGTTTCCTGGCACAGCACCACCACTTCGCCCCCTTTCTTTTTAAAGAGAGCTGTCATAATTTGGCCTTTAATGGATCTTTCGGTGACTTTTTGAATACTGGGCAGACAACGGGAGTGGGGGGTGGGGGGGTGGGATGAGAGGAAGAACCGGGCCAGAGTTTCGGAGCCCTCCGCCTTCCTTCGCCTGCCGAGAGCTTCCACCCTGCCTTGGCAACGCCCATGGTTAATGGTGCTTAATGGTGCCTGTAATTGGTGTCTCAACTTATTCAGAAGTAAATTTACTAGAAAATAATTAGCAATTTTATAGTTCACTACTTCTTCATTTTGTTGATTAAAAAAAAATCCAGCTGCTTTTATCAGCTGACACAATAGCAGGATGAGGCTGAGAAACAGATTATCCCAAGTGGCTGGACAGGCAGGTACACAAGCCCCCCCCCCGCCGGCCCTGCCCCCCCCAAAGCCCCCAGGGTAGCATTTCCCTTTCCACCATTCAGTGTGTGTGTGGGGGGGGGGGAAGAGAAGGCTGCAGGCTCAAAGAAAGAGAAACCTTGAACCGAACTGGTTTCTCTCCGGGGGGGGCGTGCAGAGTGCTTATTCATGGTGGCCCGGAAGGGAAGGCAGGGCAGGGCGAGGGGTCCCGTCTCTATTCCACCGTCACTCTAAACCACGGTTGATTTTAGCTCGCAGGCCACGGTTCATCAGGGAATGCCAGCCGGCACATCAAGCCAGTGCTTGCGCGGCCTGCCATTTTGTCTGAATCCATAAATCACCGTTACGGCTGTTCCTTCTCCCACAGCGGCTGCTGTAGCAGCACCATGGAGGAAAGAGTGGAAGGTGTGAATTAATTAAGGCAAGTGCTGCTGAGCAGATGGAAAAAGAAAGCAGACAAGGAGCTCCGAATGAACAGAGGGAGGGAGGGGGGGGGACCCCTTCACCACCCCTGGGCTGGACGGCTGCTCCAGCTGCCCCCCCCCCGTTTGAGCCAGCGGACGGGCCAGTGGCCAGCAGAGCCCGAGCTCCACGGTGGCCACCCCACACTCTCCTGCACAGTCGACACCAGAGGAGGAACCCCCTCCTCTCGCACACACACACATATCCCAATTTCTCCATCCACGTACGCGCACACCATATCCAAACGGCTCATAAACCAACACCCCCATTCACATGCACACACAGGCATACAAACACACATGCCCCCCCCCACATACACTCTTTTCATCTGAGCAATGCTGAGAAAGGAAGGCTCTCTTTCGAGCTGAGGTGGGAAAAGCTCCTGTCCTTGACGGAGGACTGACCAGCGCCCCATCCCTGCCTCCGGGAAGAGAGCAAGGCCTGGGGAACAAGCTCTCCGCCTGCAGGGGGGGGGGACAGAGGCTCCCTGCCACCTCCCCCCCCCACCTTTGCTTATTTCACCTGGGGCATGGTCTAGAAGGGCGGGATAAAAATCTAATAAAATAAATCTCAGACCACAGAGGGAGGGGGAGCCGACGGAGCCTCCTGGGAAACCAAGGCAACTTTTCTGGGCTGTCCAAAACAGGCTGGGGCTCACTGCTGGTGCCAGGAACAGGAGAGGCAGCATAGCCTAGTGGCTAGACTGAGTATGGCAGCCCTGGGTTCAACTGCCCACTCCGGAAGAATGGCGGTCACTGACTGTGCTCTCTGAAGTAGTCCCTGCCGCTTAGCAGGGTTGGTGGGAGGATAGAATGGAAAAGAACAGGAGGCGCCTCTGCCTGGAGGGAACAAAAAAAAGAGGATGGAGTAGAAATCTGACCAAGGGGTCTAGGACTTAATGCCCCCATGGCCTCTGTCTTCAGTCTCTGCCAGCAGGAAGCAGCTGCATCTGGCTGAGCCCTAAGAGGTCCTTGCGCGGGAAGAGACAAGATCTCTCTCCTTGGGTTGCGAGAGAGAGAGAGAGAGAGAGGAGGGGGGGTGGAAGCCTCCAGTCGACTGAGCCCCCTCCGGCTGCATTTTCATTCCTCCCCAGTCCCTGCTCACTCACTGGCACTCCATTGGGAAAAAGGGAAGGACGGGGGGATGTAGTGGTGCCATTGACGTCTCTGCACTGGCTGAGCAAATCCTTCCCACAACCAGAAATGACCAAGCAGAGCCTGGCAAGCTCCCTCGCCTCGATAAAGGGAGCAAAAAGCCGCAGTTGCTGTGACAAGGTTTTATTGTTTAGTGAGGTTTGGCTGCAGGTTCACACTTCACATTTCCA